ATCCGATGAGCTTCTTTACGGTAGATGTTTATGATGCGATGCGTCTTCTTTTAATCCCTATATTTAAAATGCGACTGTCAGTCATTTTCTTTGTACATTTAAAAATAAATAAATAAATAAATAAATAAAATAAAATATAAATGGTGAATATAATGATCAATCTAATAAATAGTGGACAGAACGAATCTTGCACAGGGCAAAAACACGGACCCCTGGAAATACCAGAAGTGGGATAAGGCACTGAGGAGAAGTAAGCTCTCCTCTCAACAGAACACACCCGCAGTAAACCTATCCATTGATCAAATAGACGGAGTACTCCGTAACTAAACATACTCTCTTCTGCTTTACTATGGATATTCTTGCATCACATTCTTTGACAACACGGCAAGTTTCTGGTAAATGATTTCCACTGCAGAACAAGCGATGATTCACAGGATTTTCTAGCTTGTTAGTATTCTTATGGCTTGATCAATCGACAAAGTGTGTTTGAAATACTGCATGCTGTTGTTTGAGTTACTCAGCTGCCCAGTAGTTTGTACATATGGCTGCTTTTTAATGGCTCTCCTCCATTACTGCAATTCCTAGTTATCATATTCTTTGGTTAGCGTAATGTTTCTCCGAATATCTGTTTGTAGTGTGTTATAGATCATTGGAATAATTTCACAGTTGGTTTCATTGGTCCAAATGCAAGTGATTCTAATCATCTGGTGCAGCACTCCATTTTACCACAGTTTTTCAAACTATCATGATTAGATATGTGAGCAAATCAGCTAGACTTGGCATGTGTGCAGTGATAATTTTGTGCTCATGAAGGAATGTCCATAGGGATTGCAACTGCTTGAAAAAGCTTGTTGCTTGTAAACTACAGTCCTGCAGTTATGCAGTACTATGAGCTGCTATTCCCTGACGATGATTTAAGTTTCGGTTTTGTAAAATCTAACATCTTTCAGTTCCACCTACTCTATGTCTATATACTCTAACATCTTCCTGCTTCATCCTTTCTATGTCTGAATAATCTAACATCTTCCTGCTCCATCCTCTCTTTGTCTTTATAATCTAAAATCTTCCTGCTTCATCCTTTCTTTGTGTGTGTTATCTAACATCTTCCTACTTCATCCACTATTTGTCTGTATAATCTTACATCTTCCTGCTTCATCCATTGTCTTCATAATGTCTTTATATTCTAACATCTTCCTGATTCATAATCTCTTTGTTTGTATAATCTAACATCTCATCTTCCTGCTTCATCCTCTCTATGTCTGTATAATCGAACATCTTTCTGCTTCATCCTTTCTGTGTCTGTATAATCTAAAATCTTCCTGTTTCATCCTATTTTTATCTGTATAATCTAACATCTTCCTGCTTCATTCTCTCTTTGTCTGTTTAATCTAACATCTTCCTGCTTCATCCTTTCTTTGTGTGTATTATCTAACATCTTCCTGCTTCCTTCTTTCTTTGTCTGTATAATCTAACATCTTCCTGCTTCATCCTTTCTTTGTTTAATCTAACATCTTCCTGCTTCATTCTCTCTTTGTCTGTATAATCTAACTTCTTCCTGCTTCATCCTTTCTTTGCCTGTTTAATCTAACATCTTCCTGCTTCATCTTTCTTTGTCTGTATAATCTAACATCTTCCTGCTTCATCCTCTCTTTGTCTGTATAATTTAACATCTTCCTGCTTCATCCTCTCTGTGTCTGTATAATCTTACATCTTCCTGCTTCATTTTCTCTTTGTATAATCTAACATCTTCCTGCTTCATCCTCTCTTTGTCTGTATAATCTAACATCTTTCTGTTCAACCTACTCTATGTCTGTATAATCTAACATTTTGCCTCTTCATTCTCTCTTTGTCTGTATAATCTAACATTTTCCCGCTTCCTTCTCTCTTTGTCTGTATAATCTTACATCTTCCTGCTTCATCCTCTCTTTGTCTGTATAATCTAACATCTTCCTGCTTCATCCTTTGTCTGTATAATCTAACATCTTCCTGCTTCATCGCTTCATCCTCTCTTTGTCTGTATAATCTTACATCTTCCTCCTTCATCCTCTCTTTGTCTGTATAATCTTACATCTTCCTGCTTCATCCTCACTGTGTCTGTATAATCTAACATCTTCCTGCTCAGACCCTCTTTATGTCTGTAGGATTCTTCCTGATCCACCTACATATCCTATCAAGTTTCTGTGTCAGTAAGGGTTCTTACTTATTTTCCGGTTTCATACATTACATCTTTATGAGCAAAGCCAGTTAGAGATCAAATGAAAATATATAATAATATGATTGCTTTAATTTTATAATATGTTCTTACTGTGCAGTGTAAGAAAATCCATCCTTCGGAACCGCTGCCTTTTCTTTCCTTGCACTGACCACATGACATGATTTAGGAAAGTTGTTTCAGAAGATCGCGTTATAATGTGGGTACTTGCATTTTCACGGAGGAAAAGAATAGCAGCCCTCTATAATAAAAAAAAAATGTTTATCACAGTTTATGTGTTTTTTTGGCGTTCAAGTAGTAAAAATTGCAATATGCTGCCTGTCTCTAGACTATCCTTATTTTTACAGTCAAATCTAGCTATCTCGAAATCAACGGCACGGAGATTTATCTTCAAGAAATCCGAGGATTTGAGATAACGAGGTGATAAAGAAAAAGTGTTTAGAACAACTAAATCACTTCGGCATATCGGCATATTCGACAAATTGATGTTCCAGTTAACGAAAATAAAATTACTGTATGTGTTATACATGTTTAAATAAATGACTTTCCCGTGGAAATTCGTTGAAGTGAAATATCTATTTTTATTTTTTCAGTGGTCTATTAACTGTTTGATTAAACAATAAAATGCTTCTTTGATTATTAGTATGGGAATTAATTTGTAGCTGTTACTGGAAAAAGTACATATCCCGCTTAAACGGGTTATGTAATTTGTTTCTGCAATAGCTGCAACGTTTTCATACTAACATACAAAGAAAGAAATTGTTTGCTAATTAATATGTAAGTCAGCATTAATATAGGACCTCCCATGGTTTGTGGATGGATATGACTTTTTATTCAACGAGTTGTGGATTTTTATCTCCGAGCCTTGGCAAGGGGATAAAAACATACAATGAGTTGGATAAAAAACATATCCAACCACAAACCATGTTCGATTCTTTTTATCACATGTTTTGCACATACATATAGCTATTTATTGTTTGACACTATTTTTATAAAAGTAAATCCACAATATTTTACTTGGATCAAGTTCACAAAAAAACCATTGTGACGTCACAACCGTGGATATGAAAACGATATCATATGAGCTATATCCACTATATAAAAGAGTAAACATGACTGATAAATGAATATATTTCTCCTATAAACATAAACATGATAAACTGTAGTATCTAAAAGTCTCTTGCATTGGTTGTGTAAACAGGAAAGTGCTTCCGGTAATCCCTCAGACTGACAAGATAGACAATGTACGCAATTATATACAGTGCACTCAGCTGTCAAAGACGGAAGAGGGCGGAAGAGCGATTTCCGGCACTTAGCCTTCAAGTAATCATTCAGTCTTAATGCTATCTATCGTTTTTTATGTGAAAATGATAAAGCAAGCAAATTCTGCACATGTTTTTTCTTGTTAGGGAAAAGGTTTTGTAGTATATATAATTGTTTTACAGTAAGAACAGAAGAGCACAGTTTTGTACTGTAATTTATCCAATGAGTAAAACTGATATTTTTTTACAGGTGTTATAAATGTCAGCGGCGAAAACGCTGGACTTTTCTTCCCTTCAGAAAAAGTGTTTAAGAATTTTAAAAATACACCCTATAGATGGCGAGAATGAATTAACCATCCTGAAACTGAGTAAAGCAACGAAAGTTTCTCAAGATTGTTGGCAAAATCCATATTTACAATTTTCATACTCACAACAGATTACCTCTGACGTCACAGCATACGTCACTGCGTTATAAAGACTAGAGGGATGTGAAAATCAGAATGTGATAAAGATTCGCACTTTATGGAAATATCAAAAAACTCTGTCCAACATAAGTTCAGTGCAATTTAAAAAAAAAGTTGGGTATTTTCTAATTAAGTGATTCTGATTCTTATCAATCGATTATTTTTCCCTTGATCTGTAAACTCAGTCAAGTTTTCATTAGATATGTGATGACCTTTTAAAAGAATTGCATAATTTAAAAAAATAAATTCTTAGGCAAGAGCTGGCATGTGTTTGAGGAAGAAGATTATACTATGATATATTAAAATACTTTAACGTCATTGTAAGAGAAGTTTGAAATAATCTAATAAAATGATTCCTTATTTAAGTTTGAATAAAAACATCTTTATTAATTTCTTAGTCAACAGTGCAACATCCTATTTATGCTATGTTGAATCATATCATAGTTTATTTCTGTCATGCCAATTAAATTAATAAAAGTTCGAGAAAGAATATAATTCCGTCTCATTTATTTTTTAAATATGAAAAAAAAAACCACTAGAAGATGCAGGAAACAAATCAAATCAAAAACAGAAGAAAAAATATTACTAAATACGTAAAATGATGTCCATGTAACATTAAATAGGGAAGTCATATATGAAAACTCTTTTCTCGTAATAAAAATTACTCAAAATAAAAATAAAAGAAAGTAAAAGGAAGTTTTAAATGGGGACATGAATGACAAAGCAAATAAAACGCTCTCTTGGGAAACGTGACAATACACACAGCAAAACACAGCACTAATATAGAAACAAATATTATATATATATGAATTATATAAATATGTTGGGCATGAATAAGGGTAACTTTTGCAGCCGTGATCGGGATCAAGTCACAGTTCGACTTAAGACTATCATCCTTCCGGTTTCAGCTATAATGATATCATATCGAATAAAGGGACTTTTATTCAGTGCGGAAATAAAGACCAGAAGGTTTAAATAACCTAAATATCCGCATCATTCAGAGGTGAATTGTAGATCGATAGGAAAAAGACAAGTGAAGTCCACAGTGGGGTGGAACTTGTAAATATTGTTTAGAATACCGACTGTATGAAAATGGGGATTTAAAACATGACGTTTCGATTTTTCAAGGGATAAAGATGAAAATTGTATTTCAAAGCAGACACAGGATCCGATAATATTGGAAAGCAAAGTAAAATCGCTGGATGCGTTTGATGCTTTATGTGGTTAGGTGGTGGTTATCCAACAAAACAAACGCAAAAACTCACCAAAGTTTCGGTATTGATTGTACACGGTGATTATACAGGGATGAAATTAATTGTACACGGTGATTAGACCGGAATGATAAGTGTGTGATCTGTATTGGACTTTTAAAATAAATAGTAAATCTTCAATACCCGTCACAGACTGGATAAACTAAAACCATACAATGAACAGCTCGGACGAACACGAATTTAATGTTCTGAACGAGGAGTACATTAAGATAAATATTCCAAACATATTTATCAGCGTGTTCTATTTTTTGTTCGGTGTCACGGGTAACTCCTGCGTCCTCCTGGTGTACTGTCTGTGTGTCAAGAGGAGGAATAACCGCTACTACATCCCTTTCCTCGCCCTGGTGGACTTATTGTCATGTTTGATGAATAGCGCCTGGGAGATAATGTTTGACATGCAGCCCTTAAACTTTAACGACAATATGGGATGCAAATGGATACGTTTTCTAGGCAATGCTTTGGCAATACTTTCCGGATTTTTACTGGTCGTCATTGCATTACAACGGTTCATGCTTGTATGTAAGCCATTACGTCACCCCTCTTCTGTGAAGACGAAGAACGCGGTTTTGTTGGTAACCCTTATGCTTGGTCTTGCCATATCGTCTCCGAAATTTATATTTACAGGGATAACAGAAATCAAAACGAGAAATCAGAGAATTACAGGAACTGTGTGTGGAATTCTCGACGAATATTCGAATACCACAGGCCTCCTTGTATATGATATAATACTGCGAGTGATCGCTGGACTTTGCTACCTTTCTATAACCATCTTGTATATATTTGTAGTTCGTGCTATTTATATCAGAAACCAGAAACTATCTCAGTCTCATAAAACAACAGCTCGCATATTACGTGAAGGTTCTAACAATAATTCTGTAGATGACCGGGTTCAAAGTTCTACTTCAAGAAATTCACAGCATGAATATCAAGGAAGAGAGCAGAGGGACTCCGATACTTCAACAAATCTACGCAACAGGAACATCATTGCTACCCATCGTTTCTCTATAATGTTCTTTGTAATCACCCTGATTATCCTGATCACGTATGCCCCACGTCTAGCCATTGAGTCTATAGAAGCCATGGATAAGAATTTTGCAGCTAATTTCAGCGATGTCGATATTGCTTTGAAGGGTTTCTTTGAGAATCTATATATATTAAATGCTGTGATTAACCCGATGATATATGGCTATTTTGATCGGGAATTTCGTGTTATTTTGAAAAGAAAACTTTGTGGCAGATAACAAAGACTGTTCATAACATTGTAAATTCACCAAGGTCGTCACACGTGATTGAAACAACTGCGCACTTGTAATAGGTCAAATGCACTTCCAGGATTGTTAAAACTAATGGATATATAAAGGATATCACGAGGCGCAGAAAGAAGATACAAAGATCACATTCATGTAAATGTTTGAAACTAGATCTTTCACAAGGAGATTACAAAGATCTCTTTCACGTAAATGTTTGAAATTAGTCCTTTCACAAGGAGTTTACGTTGGATAGTTGTACGCATTGTTTATATCTTCTCAAGCATTTCAATCTCTTGACTGAAGAAATCATGAAAATTAAAGCATCTTAAATTCATTGCTGTAAACCTCTGTATGTCATGCATGTCACATACTTGTATAATTATACTAGTGTGGAATTAAAGGATTTATATTGGCATTAGATTTTCTTTTTGACTGCTATATAGGCCTAGTAAGTTTCTGAGGATAAAAAATTAATAAAAGTAAAAAATGATTTATGACGTCAAAAACGTTTGAAGGGTTACAAGTACAACTTCATCGTTCATATTTAAATTGAACAGATAGAACTTCCACTTTCATTTCTTGCTATAGAAGCACAATTTTTTAAGAGGCGATATTTTATTGCTTTAATGTAAAATGCATAAATGTTACAATAAATTTAAGCATTTAAATGTAAATAATCGACAGTCGTCGTATCTTAACACAGATGTCTCTGTAGACACATTTTCATTATATAATATTCAATCTATCAGTACATGAGCCGTAGGTATTATTTATATTCATTACTGTACATCAAGATGAAGGTCAAATACTTACAAGTCATTGCTTAAATACTTCCTTCTAATTTTTCTACTTTCATAGATTCAAAAGGATTTTCTCTCGCATGTTAATATTTTTATTTCTAAAATAAAGTATAAAAAAAAAAGACTTTATTTGAATCTGTATATGGTATTTTTCTTCACTTTTTGGCGTCTTTGCTAAATTCATTTTTTTTTATTCGAAGGATAAGATATAACATTTATTCAAAGCCGAGTTTTGACAACAAAAACATAAGCTCGGAAGCGCTATTCTCCGACTTCAAATAATTTATATCATTACAAATAAACACAACAAAGCAAACACGTATAGTTCTTTTTCAATATTACACTACTAAAATATTACTATAATATTAAGATGCATATAAAATGACATGACACAGTATATATTAGAATAACACCGTCATAAAATATGTTACAATAACGGAATAAATTAAACCTTTTTAAAGATTAAATAAAATGAAAATTAACTACACGCGCAACACTTACAGTGGTCTCCATACCAACTACTTATCTTCGATTTGAATTTGTTAAAAAGTAATATTTATGTAGTATTTAATATTTCTTAAAGATTAATATAATGAGTATATAGAAAAATATAATGAATACAATTCAAGATTTTTTACAGATCCGTATCTAAAAACGTCTTTTTTGTTGATTTTGCTTTTGGTAAAAGGTGGTATTTCTTATAATACATGTAGAAGAACAGGGTGTTTCTTTAATTTTGATTAAATGATGCAAATGAGACAGACATTGGTTTTTTTTTATCTAAAAACATTTTATATAGTCATTGTTCTGATAAGCTGGAGTTTGAGACTCGGCAATTATGATACGCTGGAGTTTGAGACACGGCAATTATGATACGCTGGAGTTTGACACACGGCAATTATGATTTTTGAAGAAGATAACTATATGAATTTTTTAGTCGTCATAGAAAAAGACAAGGGGTTAAATTTTCCTTTAATTTATAAAAGAGGAAAAATATTGTCTTGCATTGAACTTTCTAAAAACTTTATTTTAATTTATTTATTCTAATGACTATCAAGTTTAATTTTCCTATATATGAGTTACACACAGATCCACAAGACTTGATAAACATCCATAATTACATGACTGTAATAAAGAAAAAGAATAATATACAGTCAGATTATTTAGGTTTTGTTTACTATTTTTCTTAACATATTCATTTTAATCCAAGAAATCAAAATTTGAAGTAAAGCATTTTAAGTATTGAATTTAAAGCGGACGTTCTGCATCTGATAATTTCATTACTGTGTGGAATACAGACTTTGTAAAGCTCTGTTTCAAATGCTCACACAGCTATTGAGTCTACAGTTAAGTAGCATGTTCATATGTTTTGATATCTTTTGTCCTTTTGAAAAGTAGTACTACAAATAATCGTGTAATAGTGGATATATAACAGTGTCATGATGCATGTTGACATAGTTAATAAGTAGATATACTTACCATGACGTCATCTGTAGAGAAATAATCTGAAGACAAAGGGACCGAAAAACGAACACTGATTTCAAGTTATTTTTTTTTTAATATTCCCGAACCGAAGTACATGTTTTAGAATGTCTTTAAACGCAAACGATACTTATTTAAATGTGAACTGATTTCGATAAATTCAATTAGAAAATTATTTTTGAGACATGATTTTCATGTAATAAACATTAAAAGCTTTCCTTTATTAATTTTTATTCATTAGAAAATTAGTTCGTTGCGTCCCTCTATACATCACACTGTTATATCTAGACTGTTGGGAAAAATATAACGGTTATAATTTTAGTTTAGTGAGCTTAGCCTCTGGTGATTTCTATTAACTTAGAGTGATCATTTCCTGAGTATGCTTGAAATCTGAATTCCTCAGGAAATCCGTTAAGTATTTGTCCGTGAGGGGGATCTGTATATGCCTTACTGTGATCTAGATATATGCTAAATTAAAGTGATGTCGCTTCCTGTTTTTATTAATAATACAACAGCTGATTTATTAGATTCTTATATTGATTTTTAATGCGTTTGTTTACATTCTTTTCTAAAACAAAACTCGGTATAGTATTGCTCTTAAGCTTTTCCACAATAAAATGTAAATAAAGATAAAACATAAATAATAAAACAATATTTTTTCAAAGGAATACGGTCATCTAAATTGATATAAATAAAGATATCAGGGAGGACCACCCTCTTTGTGACGCCCACTCTTAACATGCAACCTCCATTTTAGCTTATCTTCTTCTGCGAGCTCCCCAGCTCTTCTCAGATGAAGAAGATTGTGTCCAAAGTTACTCTCAACTAGACTCTGCGTGGTGCAGTGGTTAGAGCGTTTGCTCGTGTCTAAAAGTAAAGACAAAGATAATGTAATAAACAGAAAAATTTAATGTTTTGTCGTGAAGTATCGGATATTTTTTTCACTCGTAAGACAAGAGATTATTTTTATGTTTCATTATCCAAATTAAATATCATGTCCAACTCATGCAATAGCAATAAATCCCATATCATTTAATCTAATCTAATCTCATTTAATCAAATGAGCACGAATAATTTCTAAACTCAAGCAGGCTAAAGACAAGTAAACTAATGTTACAGGACTTTTAAGAATATCAATGAAAATCAGCATCGTAACAATTGCCTCGTTTATAACCTATCGCTGGGTCCTTTTTTGACTCACATGTTTCATACCAAATGTTAAACCATTGTTTTATAAACTTTTGAAATATTTCGTTTGCGAAATCAATACAGAGGGATCGCGGCGGAAGTGACATTTTGACAGGGACTGCTTACATTTCCTAGGCACTGATCCGACTTTGGTGTATCCAGTAGGCCCCTGTATGTTCTGTTCACGATTCTTATATTGCTAACAGGATCTATAAGATTGGTCACTCTTTGTAATCTTTACAGTTTCCGTGGTCAATCGCTTACAGAAACGATATAACGTGATCATTCTGATTTTTGCTTTCTCCCCCAAAACTAAATATTTTTTTATATACGTGATTGTATATTAAAATTGAAAGGAAAAAATAAAAAAAATTAAAAAAAAAAAAAAAAAAAAAAAAAAAAAAAACATGAAAAACTATAATCCCTCAAAAAAAAATATTCTCGACTTTACTGTATTTCATGGCAATATTTTAGTATTCGAACTGATTTACAAATTTCTACAACGTATTTTAGCATGAATGAAAAAATAATTGATTTCTAAATGGCAGGTTCTTATGATTGTATTAATACAGGCTTGTTTTTCTCCGGTGCTAAGAAGATTGTTTAGGAAAGGTACTAAAGGCTTTACTACTCTAAGTAAATAAATATAGAATACTGCAAGGCGTAGAAGAGGTCTTAAAAGACATATGTGCCGTAATTAAAGGCAACTTCATCAGCATAGCAGGGGGAAAAACCCTGACATGGTTGAATTGGATAATTTTTTTCCTTTTTTTACAAGAATCATATTTGGTTAAGTGAGAACATGCTTTGATTTCTTTATAGTTGTTGTGATTACTATTATTTGATTAACATATATATTAATTTAATAAATTTAGACACTCAAGAGTATTTTTTTAAAAATCCAATCTAAAGAACACATTTCCTGTTTCTAGCTGTCAACATGTCGTAAATAAATATGATATACAGTGTATATACTCAACGTTTACATTGATTGTAATGTGGAATTTTTGCACTAGGTATATCACCTGAAAATCTCTCTTCTCTCTCTCTCTCTCTCTCTCTCTCTCTCTCTCTCTCTAACCACACCTCTGAAGACAGTGTCAAGTCAGTCCTATGTTATACTTGTCATTTTCTGTTTATTGTTTGACTTGTTTTCTTCCTTGTTATTTTCTGGAAACGATGTTTAACATTTCAGCGCCGTTTGTAATTAATCTGAATTGATTACAAGATCGTGATGTAAACAAGGTTACTTTTATTGCACGGGATATGTAGACAGTGTTTAATGTTCGTGTTAAAGTTTAAATAATTACGTACTTGCATTTTATTTTCATTCGTGTTCTAAGAGATAAATAGAGAAAGAAAATGACTGAAAAAAAATGTCCTTTTAAGGAAACCTTCACCTCAAATGTCAAATTGTTTCTTATGGTATGAGACGTAACGGCCCCCAGTGACAACTTTTACTCATTATGCATTAATTCAAACCACTTAAAATATTTTTTAGTTAAAATTGAACAATTCTGTTTAAATTTACTTGTTTAGATCATCATCTCGGGTCTTTCCGTCAGAGGTCGGAAAATTTCAATTCAATTCAATTTATTGATTCACCAAACATGTTGGCATACAACCATGTAACAAACAAAATGAAAAATACAGTGTGTTTTCAGATTACTAAAACATATACTTAAGTACATACATACATGCAAGTGTACAAATCAGTGAAGTCAACTACTTTTACAACTTGAAGTTATACATAATCATTATGCAAATAGTATAAACAGTATAATATGGACAGAGATAAACTAATTAATGCATTAAATATATATTATTGTGCTCTATATTTAGAACGCAATTCAAAACATTCATGTAAAAATTCGCATAGCCTTCTAGAATGAACTGCATTGTCAGGATTACAAAGTACTTTACAATGATTTTCCTTCAACATGTTATC